TCCCTCCACGGCTGCCCAGGGCTGAGGGGGCAGAGCAGAGAGACAAAAGCGCCAGTGCGTTGTCGCAGCTGGTCGCTGTGTTCGGCCGGAGCTGCTGCTGCTGCAGCCCTCCCCCCAAAAACAGCCTCTCCGATGTGGTCACCAAGGAGTGCAGACACCCCACACCTTAAAACGAGCTGTGATACAGCCCAGCTGAAGTGGCCAAGCCGGCCACCACTGCCCAAACTCACCCCACAACACCCCCAGGACACCAGCCTGGGGCTGGGCTGCAGAGAAACTGCCTCATCCTCCTGACACCACCACCATTGTGCTGCTGAGTAACCAGCAACAAACCAGAAGGTAAAAACCTCCCAGGGCTGAGAACTACTCATTTCTGCTGCGTTGGTTTAACCTGTGGCAGCTCCCAGGCCTGTTCCCAGCTGAGGGAACATGGGAAGGGCTTCAGCCCTTGCCCCTCTGCCTGTTCCTGTTGTCCTCTGGCCGTTGCACGGATGACACTGCACTGCCCTGCCGCTCAGGCAGGGGGAAAATGAAGAATTTACACCTGATTTCTCTCTTTTGCCAGCCAAAAACCCCTAAGGAAAGCTGTGGTTAGAGAAGACCTTGAAGCACGGCCCTGGCTTGACCCTGGTGCCCGGCCTGCCCCAGCACTGTACTGGGCAGCAGCCAAGCAGGGCACCTTCACCTGTAACAGCAATAAAGGTTCCCATGTGCTTCTGGAAAATATTATCAAAGCCAGAAACAGAGTAACAAATTTTTCTCATTCATGGAGGCACTTTGTACAGGGAAGATTCAACACGTACTGAACCAGCAGACACTTCACTCTCAAAACAAACACCAGCCAGGGGTGAGAAGGTTTTCCAGGTCCAGACCAGCCGGAGGCTTGGCTTAATAGATATTAAAACACAGGAATCTTTGGGGGTAACAGCTGCAGGAGCTCTGTGACCTACAGACACTTCATGTGGCTGAGCTGAGGGACCCTGATTTTGAGCAGCTATTCGAGTCTCTGGAAGCACTTCACACACAGAGCAGTGTCACCCTCCTGCCCTCAATCCCCCCAGAGTCACACTACATCTCATACAATGTCATATACATATATATGTATATAATTTTATATACATATATGATTATATGTTATTTATATATTATTTACTCATGTATACAACAAAGCTGAAATAAAAAGGGAGATAAAGAACCATTTAGCTGGGCCCTGGGTGAACACTGCAGAGCACAGTGGTGCAGGGAGCTGCTGATGACTCTGGGGGCACTGAAACAGTCGTGGGTGTCTACACATGGTTCACCAGAGCCCCCTTTATTACACAGACCGTTCTGAAACCTCCCCAATGCCTGAGGGCTTGGCCTGCCCCTGCCCGGGTCGGAAGCGTTCCAAGAATTCCAGGTAGGCTTTCTTCTGCGCCGCAGCCGCGGGGATGAAGTGTCCGCCAGGGTGGGTGAGCACCACCGGTTCCACGAAGCATCGGGCCAGCTCCAT